GACATGATCAATTGCAAGCTGTTCGTCATGAGCGTCATGAGTTTTGCTGCAGATCCTTGTCAAAACTGATTCTCACTCTGCAAGTCAAATGCAGCTGACCTGGTGTTCGCTGGTCCGCTTGCACGACTTTCGTCCCTGAATCTTTGTACAGTTTCATTCAGAGTATAACACTGGGCTCTCAGGTGCAGATATTTAATAGCCCATCTGAATGCCTGGTCCGCTTCAGGCTCCTTGTCGCGGTGAAGCTTGGGAATTAGAATGTGTCCCTGAACCTGGTTGGACGGCAGTGTCGCCCAATTAGAGTTCTGAGGGGTGGTCGGGGAGAACCTCCGAGAGAAATAGTTTGCGGCTTGCTCGCACGAGTGATTGAGAATGAGCCCCGATCCTTCCCCGTGAGGTGCGCGGGGATGAGAGTCAAAGATGAGATAAACTGTGTGGTCGGCAGTCAAGGTTATCTTCATGCACGCCACGATTTCACTTGGCTTTGTAATAACAACAGCAGAGGGCCCACGGGCATCTGGGTTTGCGCGATCCATCTTCCTGACGGAACATGGGAAAGTCAGCTATTCATGTGTATCCAGGACAAGGGTGGTAATATTGCCTCAGGATATCACGAAAAGCATCAATGCCACAGTAGGCATTCGCGGTGGCTTCCGTGAGTTGCAGAGAATCGCTGAAAAAGGGTGTTTCGAGGATGTCGTCGACAGACAGATGAACATTCTCCTTGTAATGTTCGCAGACTGAAGTATAATCCTTAAGCAGAGCCTTTCAACCTCCTGATACATAGGTACTAGGCTGTAGCGCTCACCAGTACCGTATCTTGCGACAATATCTGTTCCAATAAATCTGCGCCGTCTTGGGTGTGAGGCATTTTCCCGAAGGCTACACGAACGAAATTTGTGGCTGCTAGACCACAAGATGCAGCTCCTGCGCCCGAAAATCGATATTGGCTGCTGTTCCTGTAACATATACATATCTGTTGGGGTGCTCCCGAGTGTGACCTTGGGACACGACTGTGCCTCAAGCTTTGAGGTGCCCCCCAGCTGCGGCTTGCCTGAGGTTTGAATGACCTGATAGCAGTACGTATTTCATAGGGACTCGGATCCAGTATGGCGTTCATAATGGCTAGTTGCGAGTCTGTTGTTGTTGTTGTTGAGGCGAAGAAATCACGAGGGCCCCCCACCTTTATACCTACGAATGTTCTTGTTCATGTCACAAGTGTTCAGCACAATTGTACAGTATCTTGCGGAGATATTATAAGACAAATCCCAGAGCGGTCGGTTGCCTAGCAAGAGTCAAGTGTCTTATTGTCTAACTTTGGCTCGACAAATAGGTCTTCTGCAGGGCACAGCACTGGCTCAAGACATACCGGATGTGGGCGCCAAGTGACTACATCAATTTGTTGTTCCTATTATGGACTGTAGGGCAGGCTTGACGCGTCTAAACGCGGTCTTATTCTTTCCTTTTAGTCTCATCTCGGCTGAGGTCTTATAAGTGGTCAAAGGCATAACGCCTTTGTCAGAACTTACAATGCATCTCTCTCCCTTCTTCCTGTTACTAGCGGGTCTCCCCGCTGTCGTCGCGTGGGGTGCTGCCGGTCATGAAGTCGTCGCCACAATTGCCCAGATCCACCTTCACCCGACCGTCTTCCCTGTTCTCTGTGACATCCTCAACTTCACCTCTACGAACCCAAACGAACCTCTTTGCCATCTGGCGCCCGTCGCAACATGGGCCGACCGCATAAGGTTCAGAATGCGCTGGTCAGGCCCACTACACTATGTTGGTGGGGTAGGCGACCATCCTTCGCAGACCTGCAAGTTCCCTGGAGCAGGGGGATGGGAGGGAGAGAGGAAGCATAACGTTCTTGGAGCGATAAGGAACACAACCAACCTCTTAGAAGATTATGTCGACGGCTCAAGTTCAATCACAACAGCGAACGAGGCCCTCAAGTTCCTCGTTCATTTCGTTGGCGACATGCATATGCCCTTGCATCTAACTGGGCGTGACCGTGGTGGAAACTCGAACAAGGTCAAGTTTGGAGGAAGAACAACAAGTGAGTTAGTTCTATTTTTGGATATTCGACGTTTGTCCACTAGACTATCTCTTTCTCCTTTGGCTTGACTTCACGAATACTAATCAAGTTTCTCGTAGACCTTCACTCTGTCTGGGATGGCCTCCTCATCGCCAAAGCCATCCGCGAGACGCCACAGAACTACACGCGTCCCTTGCCTTATAAGCATATCGAATACTCTCTTCGCGGAACCATTTACGACTCCTATGTGCGGCGTATCATGTGGGAAGGGCTGCTCTCTCAGTGGGCTTCTGAGATCCCCTCCTGGCTCGCCTGCCCCGTACCCTCCACCCCCACGGGCCTCTGGCAAACCATCCTCTCCACGCTGACATTCAACCCCAGCGAGACGGACGACGCCACTTTGTGCCCATACCATTGGGCCCAGCCCATCCACGCGCTCAACTGTGACCTCATCTGGCCGCCTGAGCTCGACGAGCCCCCGTACAACGGTGGCACCTCCCTCTCGGACGAGGAGAGGGCGGCACTGAGGGGAGCAGGGCGCGATCATCATGGGTGCGATGACGGCGAGTGTGCAGAGGCGGAGTATGAGCCCCGCGCCCCCCTCCTCCAGCTCGACACCCCGCAGTACGCGGGTGCTATCAAGGACGACCTGGTGATCGAGAAGCTCCTCGCGCAGGCTGGGATCCGCCTTGCCGCTGTCCTCAACTGGCTGTTCGCAGACTACGGGGATGAACTGACCGGTGCCAGTGGACTGAGGGTCCCAGAGCTAGCTTTCTAGTTACCAATCGGAACCGCATTAGACGCCTGTATTTGTACTGTATACTACGCTCTCCTGGTATTCACACAAAGAATAAAGTGACATGATATGCGATAGATATCTCTGCTCAAACACCAAACAGCCACACGCTCTCCCACATTCGGAGCATCCCTTCTCAGCCTCTGATCTGTAGGGTGTGAATCCCGTAATATTCTTCACATAGCGAGTCAATTGTTCCTGATCAGATTCCGTGACATCTATGGACGGGTTCAAGACCATCCTCGAAGGCATTTGCATGCCTCCATAATCCTTCCTTTGAGACTGTCCTTTAGGTTCTTGATAAGCGTGTCTCCAAATGCAGCGTTCTGGGTGTAGTGCTCAGTAAAGGAAAGGCTTTCCAGCGCCTTAAAGGTAGTGATGGCCTGCCGAGTTACCGGGTCTGTACACCAGAACGCTCTAAGGAAGGCCATTGCAGTGTGTGGAGCAATGGAAAGCCCCTGTAGTAGTTTAAACTTCCCGATCGCCAACCATGCGCTATCGGAGACGTGTCCAGCCTCTGAGGTGATCCCCAATTTTGTCAGGTGGCCTGAGAAATGTCGGAGGATGTGTTCCATGAGGTATTCGTTCATGGCCTTTGTGAACCCTTTGGCGTGGACTTGTAACCGCGGTGAACCAGGCGGAGGCCCGGCGCCCCCCAAAGCTAAAAAGCTGAGTACACGTCCACGCTGCGTCAGAGTCTGAGTTCCCAGGACTTTGATGCAACGTATTAGCCCGACTGACAACCTTTCCTGAAGAAGTCTAGTAAAAGTGGGCGCGTAATGGAGCTGTATATCGTCACTCTCGGGCCCAGAACGGCACGTAAACTTTGTCCGTGATAGTTGCTGGCCATAGGCGAGGCACTCCAAGAAGCGAACGCAACCCCTAAGGTCGGATTCAAACGCGAGATTCTGCAGGCGAGGTAAATGCGCCACCATGGGTAGTTGGTCGTTGCCATGAGCAAATTTGGTAGAAATTGTCAGCTGTTCGAGGCATAGCATAGTCGACAGGTGGTTGATGAACTTCTCCATTGATAGTGGATACATTGTAACATGATTTTGTACGACATTGAGGTCCACCAGGTTCGCACAGATGCCAGGGAGCCAATCCATCCCACAGTTGGAAAGGTAGAGGTGTCTCAGTTGCGGTGCATCACCAGCAAACAACTGTCCAGACAACGTGTCGGCTCCACGCGCAAAAGTTATATGGCACTTTTCCAACTGCTTTGCAGGACACTGCAGGAGACCGACATGCTCGGAGGGACAATGAATAATCAAGAGTTCCTTGATTTGCGCCAGCTGTTCGAGCGAGTTTTGGAGAGCCATTTTCCCCGATGGTGACAAACCCTTCCTGATCTTCACCACAATTGGCGCTCCTCTCGAGAGTATCAGCTTTTCTTGAGCCCATTCGGGGGAGTTGCACGAAATATCCGTCCAAAGACCTCGGTATTTTATGCAGACTTCTCGCAGCTCATGGCAGACGTTCGCCAAGGTCCACAAAGCCGTTTTTCTACCAGAATGTGGCCCGGGTCGATTGAGCTCGACGATCATCCCGATGAGTTCCCGTGGAAGCGAAACAAAGCAGTTTCTCGAGTTGAGCTGCGTGTAGAGTCTGCGAGTGACAGCTTCGGATACAGAGATCTGCTGCCTGAGATGATCGATGTCATCTTGCTCTGTGGGGTGACGGTTGAGGGTAGCACCTAGGGTGGCGGCGGCGGAGTCTGCATAGTTGCGTTGTTAGATATCGGACTGTCATGGTGTGGCGTTAGGTCCGTACCTGGTTTCATGATGAGCTGGTAGGATGCTGGTGGCGATAATTAGAATCTCAATGGATGGGCGGGAGTCGCAAATCCTCGAAGTACTTGAATAAGAACAAGTGAAGGAATAACAGTAAGCCCATCGACGTTTTAAGCATGTAGCATCGGCACCACCTGAACAGCTTGTTCGGACGTTGAAATGCTGAAACACAAGCGATCGGAGCCTTTGTGGCGGGCACCAAAACAAGAGGACAAGAACACTGCAATTTTGATCTTGTAAGGTCGAATTATTGATGGTGATAATTTGAAGGGTGCATGCTTGAAGTACATATGGAAACATGAAAGGACAAGAACCGGCCAAGAACGCTAACGTGGCGGCTGATGGGACGCCTTTAGGCGCATGGTTATGAAGGAAAAAAGGGCCACGCTGGGAATTGAACCCAGGACCTCCTCCAACTGTGTCAGACCATTGTCTAACGGGTAAGACGCCCGAAGGAGGAATCATGCTACTAGACCACGTAGCCGGGATGTGAGATGAAGTCGCTAGTGAGTGTCGAGTTGATGGGGAGGAGGGGACAGGAAGAGGACGAAGTGGATGATCAAGAAATAATCAGACAATGATGGGTCGGCGGGGGCCTTGTGGTGTGTTGTAAACTGAAGCATTGTTCGAAGTTGTTAGTAATTCCAGAGCTGTTTGAATCGTTGTGAATGCATGAATATAGGTACATATAGTGTTGAGGAAAGTGCAGCGAACACTCACAACTTTGGTGTCGAGGAAAGTGGCCTCAATCTTGGGACACTGTACGTCACTCTGTAGAGTGGGATGATTGAGTAAGAGAGGGCGGCGGGATATGTCGTGCAGCTACATACCAAGAAACCAGCCTAAGAGCAGCGCGCCTCCTACGAGTTTCTTGATTTGGGCTGCAAATAGGCGGACTGTATCACCGATGCGACTGGAAGATGTACATAGTAGCTTAAGCTGAGACAAGTAGTGGCAAGAAGAGGTGTAGGTTGACGAGAGTTGTAACTTGTTGCCCGATAGGCTTGATGGTTCTTAAGACTGAGTAAGTCGTTGCTTCACATGTTGACGCTCATATGTCCTGGAGATAGTCCAAACATAGCTCCTGTGTTGTCTATTGGCACATATACGCAAAGTAGGACAATGGGAGGACGCACCATATGATGGTGGTAGCGGGAAAGTTGCCACGTAGAACGTGGATTGCTCAGCGTCACGCGTCATGCCGAACAAACAGATAGTAGGCGGGAGATAAGTCAAACGCACGCCTTGTGTACCAGTAACGCTCACAGCGGGGATGTGCTTGTGTGTTCCGCAGGCGCCAAGATTGTGACGCCCGCATAGAGCATCTATTTATGAAGATGATTGCTACGTAGTCGTGAGAGTCATATACTTATCTGTCAGAGTACTATATCTTGAAGGTAGGAAGGCTTGGGAAATGGAATCAATGCCGCAGATAAGCCAGGTGAAGCCGCAAACAGGTGAACTTGCCGCGATGCTCAGCACGACGTCCTAGTTACGACTGTGTGAATATTGATCTGGTTGATCTGAGGATCGATTATACTTCGTCTTTCAATGAACTCCCATACTGGCACCATACACACACCTTCCATGATCAATTACAACTCGCTTCTCACAGATATCTCGGCTACTGACCGTAAGAAGAAAGCCTAGGTGCTTTTGGGACTTTCTCGCCTCCTACTTTTGGAATTTACGAGGCTGTCTACAATGAGCATGTATACAGATGAACTTCTTCGCAGGTGGAATACTCCTCAAAGACATTGAACTAGTCCTGTGACTGATTTCCAAATCTGTGAGGGCTGTCCAGCATCACGAGAATCAACAGAACCGTGTGGTATCCTGCAAAAAGCTGTTTTTTTCATGAGAGAAAATGCTTTGTCTAAGTTTTTTTTAACTCATCCTGTTAGGCTCGCTCGCTCCCGTGTATCACGGACGCTCGACAACTCATGGTGCCGAACGATATAAACATCTACTCGTGGTTTCGTTCGACGCTCTCTCTTCTCCCTCATGTCTGTGGAGAAAACCCACAGCGATGTCGACAAGCACGATCAACTTGAAGCGTCCCATACTGGAAACGACGAGTCTGAGATTGACCTTCTGTCATACCACGAGAAGGGTGCTGGACGTCTGATTATCGATCCAGAGTAAGCAATTCTACCTACGGGCCCCTGATGAATTCTTACGATTGCTATTTTGTAGCGAAGCCAAGCTCGAGCTAGGAGAGAGCGTTGCAGCCCAGCTCAAGCTCACTTCTGACGGGACCAAGGTCCTGTGGCCTCAGCCTACCGACTCCCCTCATGACCCCCAGAACTGGAGCGCTCGACGCAAGACCATTCAGCTGATCATCATCACCCTCGCAGCTATCGTGCCGGATTTCGATTCCGGAATAGGTGAGTAGAACTGTCCTGTTGCGTGCGCAACGTGTGAATCAGGCAAAAGGAATTGCCGCAATATTTGCGCTGGCGGATCAGTATGGTACGAATCCGGGCGTCATTAACAATTTAACCTCGAAGTGAGTATACGGTCTGTGACTTTGTGGAAAAGACTCTAACCACTGAGGATAATTAGTTGGAGCATCTTTCTACTCGGTGACGAGCTATTATTAAACTATATACATGATGGGTTAGGCTGACCATCTTGATAGGATGGGGCGGAATTGTGGCTGTAATGCTTATGAGGCGTTATGGAAGGCTTCCAGTACTTTTCTGGTCGCAGGTAGTATCTTTTTCAAACTCTTTCGAGACTTGCGGAAAGCTAAGCCCACGATTGCCAGCTTTTAGCCCTCGGTTTCCTCGTGGGAGCGACGTTCGCACCGACGCTCAAGGTCTTCACAGGTATGATTTTCTCTGTGATCTCGTACCGGCCTAGGGCGCTAAGCAATTATGTTTCACGAGCCATGAGGTGCTTGACAGCTTTCTTCGCGTGAGCTAACACCTCCGTCGTTGACCTCCGGACATCTGACTGACTTCGACCCAAAATTAGGACTACCCCTCAAGTCACGGTTCGCACCAAACACCATGCCCAACAGCGATCATGTTCTTGATGAGATTTATCTTCTTTACATATAGGGCCTCTATGTCGTCACAGACATGTACCCCTTCCATCTACAAGCTCGAAAGGTAAACTTCTGTTTAGATTGATCGTTCGAATCTCAAGGATGCTCGATGCTATGTAGCTCAATGTCTGGACTATGGGTTTCATCATATCGCCTTTCCTCTCACCGTTTGCACTGGGTTTTCTCGTGGCGCGGGCGAACTGGCGCTGGACTTATGGGGTTGGATCGATGTACTCTGCCGTCGTCGTCGCCCTCATTGTTTTGTTTGGTGAAGAGACGTAAGCTCTTCCAGCCACACCTGGGTGTGCTTAGCGCATCCTAATTTCTTTGGACAGAATTTACGACCGCACCGTCAAGCCAATCCCAGAACGTCCATCCACAGGCCTACGTTACCGTGTCGAAACACTCATCGGCATCACTGGCGTGAAAATGGCCAAGTATCGCGCGTCGTGGACGGAGTCTATCATCACACCATTCAACGTCGTCTGGCGACCGCATCTCATGATGATTCTTTGGTTCGAGGTGCGTCATGCACGTTGCTACTGCCTTCTTAGAACCTAAATTTAGTTTCGGTGTTCCAGGCAATGGTCTTCGGATTCTCCATTGGCATCAATGTACGTAGTATCCCGCGTGGCAGGATCGGCAGAACCTTTCATGCTATGTATTTTTATTTTAGGTTACGAATGCGGTGTTCCTGGGTTCTCCACGCCCGGTAGGATATGACTTCGGCCCGTTCGCAATTGCAGGCGGATACGGCACACCAATAGCAAGCTTCGAATTTATTTGTACTCCCTGTGTGCTTATTACCTGCCTTTCTTCCCTGCCTAGGTGTCTGTCATCATCGGAGAACTGATCGGTCGCTATCTCAATGACTGGATCATGAACACTAGTATCCGAAGGAACAATGGTGTATTCGAACCAGAGAGCCGCCTTTGGTAGATTTTGTCGTCCGTTCATTGCCGAACTCTCCCTAAGACCACGTCATTTACAGGGCTTGTTATGTTGCCATGCCATTGTACATTTGTGGTTTCGTCACTCTCGGCGCATCTTTTCAGAAGAACTTGTCCGTTGGCGCACTTATCATGGGTTGGGGCATTGCGGAACTTTCGGTCATGATAAACACTGTAGCCGTCTACGCGTACTGCAATGATTGTTTCCCGCGGCAGAAGGTGGGTGAATGATTGGCCGTTACCTGCGTCATCGTCACATTTGCCACAGGGAGAGATCAGCGCTCTTATAAACCTTACGAGAATTTTGGGAGGTAAGTTGTCGTTAGGCCTTTGTACGCCAAATCACTGAAGTATTGGTGCAGGTTTCAGTGTTGCGTACTTCCAGGTGCCATGGGCAACTAAGCACGGAGCTATACAAACGTTTGGTGTCGAGGCCGCGTGAGTGATTTACGCATTCGTTATGGAGCGACCCTGAATGTGGCCCTCTATGCGGCTCCGCCAGCATCGTGATCGGACTGTTCCTGTTGGTTGTTCCTGCATTGCAGATTAAAGGCCGCCGTTTACGAGTGAGTACAAGCTACAAAGCAGATTAACTCTCGTGTTAAATACACGGTGTTTTGCAGGAGTTATATTCTATCCGATGAAGTGATATTGAAGACCGTACTCAACTTTCATCACTCCTCTCTTACTGGTTCTATATATAAGCTCAGATCAGCAGGCAACATATCTATATCTTATCTAACCTTCCCTACATTTATCTAGACAGAGATCTATGTTGTGGTTCGTCCTTAGGGGACAACGCCACCCAGATTTCTGTCTAGGTTCACCTTCACACGTGACAGCCACCGCCTCTAATCGGATTGGACTTGTGGAAACATTTGTTTGAACCAGAATAATCAATGTCGGGCACCCTTAGGCTGCAAAGCCCGCTACTTGTACTCCTTTTCTTGGACATGCATATAATAGATATGACATTAGTTATCGAAATTTATTTGAGTTCCTGGTCACAGATTCCAATTTCCAGTTTCGAGGTCATGGATCGAGTTTCAAGCAAATGTTTGCAGGCGTATTTCGTGTATTCCTTGTAGCTTATTCCAGGCTCATTCCCAGCATGTTGGAACTGATAGTAGATTTGCAGCGTAGTGTACGGTAAGGATTTGATAGAGTGCCATCTCTCGACGCATCGCTCCAAGTCAACCATTTTACGTCGCATAAGTACCAGTGTCGGTGTTACAGCCAGCCGCCTAAGAGACCGGAAACTGTATGTTCGATCACTTGAAAGCGGGTGATGCTTGGTTGAAACTTGATATCTAGGAGCGACTCACAGGTGTCGCCAGTACCTTGCAACTTCAAGACTCCATCCGTTGATGGTCACCCCATCAAACACCTCAAGGCTCAACAAGGACCACTGGGAAAGGCGGGGGAGCTGAGGGCCCAGAGAGAGGGCGGAGGAGAGCTTCAAGAACGTTGCAGGTGGCTGCT